AACTGTCAGCCTTATGCCCAGTGTTGGGTACGTTACTTTAAAAATGTAATCCGTTACAGTTAAAAGTTACCTAAAATGGAGAACAAATATATATTGTTGTGGTTGTAATTCTCATGTTTGATTTCTCAATAAAACAGTTAGACAACTAAAAGTTACCTAAAATGTAATTGTAGTGTAACTTTTTCGATTACTTTTAAAAAGTATTGTAACTAATTACTTTTAATTACTTTTTGATTACTTTAAGGTTTTAATGAGTATTAACCCATGATTAATTTTAGCATGTTATTATTAGCTATTGGCCGCTAGCAGTTCAAGGCTAACGTCTTGTTAATGATCATAAACAACGTAAATAAATACGTAAATAAATCGGAGACAAGTCAGTCGTATCCGGATACAACATTTTAGTATCTATACTTTTTTAAGTATCAATACTTTTGACAACCCTAGTCTGAAATGTAGGACATGTCTGGGAAAAAGAGGAGTTGGGTAGGCTAGGCTAGGCTAGGCTAGGCTAGGCTAGGTCATAGACATCGATAAACGTTTGTCATGCATCAACACCAAACAGTCAAATATTAGGAAATCAATACGCTTCGTCTATCAGTGAGTTGCATATTTTGCAAAGGTTTTTCTTTATATTTTTCAAAAAATATAACTAAATTTGTCATTTGTAAAAATGTGATATTTTCGTAAGTAACTGTAACTCAATGACATATTTTCTCATTGTAACTGTAACGAATTACAGTTACTCTTTTTTTGTAATTAAATTACGTAACGTCGTTACATGTAATCCGTTACTCCCCAACACTGCTTATGTCAGTGTTTAGCTAATCTCGCTATTGGTGGGCCGTAAACAGCCTGCAGCTGTGGAAAAATGACACTGTGGAGCTCCAGTTGATGACTCAAACTCTTTATTTATTTATTTATTTTTTTTACCTTGTCCTGTTCAGCATTATGGCAGCAGAACTGAAATCTGAGTACCGTGCTATGCTGAACAAAACTGCTTTTCCAAGGGAGGCTTTGTTAGTGAGAACCCCCCTCTATTACCCAGAACTTCTTTATTTATTCATTTTTGTTACCAAACTTCCATATGTCCAATAATGCAGAACCTGACAGAGGGACAGGGGGGAGGGAAGGGTAGTGGAAAGAAAGGAGAGAGATCCTTTAGAAAGAGAGAGAGGGGGGAGAGAGAAAATAAATAAAAAATAAATGAAAAAAATAAAAATAAAAAGGAGAGAGAAAGACAACAAGACCATATGAGCAGCCGTTATGTATGAAAAAAGGAGTCTGTTCCTTGTGGGCAATCCGAGTGGAGAACCTTTAGTGGAGAACCTTTAGTGGAGAACCTTTAGTGGGGAACCTGTAGGAGAACCTGCAAAAGGTGCACAGGGAAGACAAAAGAACAAACAAGCAACACCACTGGTATCAGGACATTAAAGAACTTCTCAGAATTGTTCGGCAACTGTACAGAAGCCTAAGGAGGCTCAGTTTTCTTATGCAAGAGTTTCCCCACAAAGCAAACCCTTAGACAGGAACCAGCATGTCCTCCTGACTAACGGCATAATGAGACCCACTTCTTTCACTTAAAGGGACAAATCTGCCACTTTCAAAGATTCTATTTACCATTCATTTGTAGCGTCTGAAAGTCTGAAAAACTGTTTTGTGCAAGTTTAAATGACCATAACACAACATTAGAGGCACAGACATAAAATCCATATTACATGAAACACATGTTTATTGCTTATAAACACAATAAGCACTACAAAACGGTTCATATACAAGAATACATGAGTATAAATATAGAGTATTTCTACTACAGGGTAATATATATTTTAACATCTGTCAAAAACAACAATGCACAATTTAAAAAAAAAAGTCACTCTGCCAAACAAACCACCTCAAAATGGAGTTTGGACTTTAGTCAGTTATACATTCACTCACACTTTTCACAAAGCTAAATGGAAGACCATTTATGTCTTGAAAGGTTTAAAGTTCTCTAAAGTCTCTTTAGTTTAGTGCTCACACCACGGCTCGACTTTCTTCCTCCATATTTCTTCAGAGCGAACACCTTACGGTTTGAAAGTGACAGTAGTCATAAGGAAGAACACGTTTTCGTCTCATTTTGATCCTCACACGAGTCAACTAGAGACGCCCTAATGTCGTTCTGTGGTGCAAACTGTAGCAGGTTAGCATGAATTAAAGATTACTACGTTAACTTGGACACGTCACGGAACAGCTAAGGACGAGTCACCACTCAGAAACTCAGAAATAACCGACAGCCTCCGGAGTGGGAACGGGTTTGTCTCAGTTTTATGGCACATAAGAGTAGAATATGACCACTTAGCAAACACACGGCAAGGAAAAATCCATCCATTAGCAAACAGCTCTTTGCCCCAGAAAACTTTAAAGGAGACATATTATACCCTATTTCAACAAGTTAAGCTAGCTCCCTGGTGTCCTAATGTAATGTCTGTGACAAGCTTTGGTCAGAATCCCATAAGGATGAAGCCCAATAGCAGTTCAGTCCCCCTGCCTAACCCTAACCCTAACCCTAACCCTAACCCTAACCCAAAACAGCCCCGTTCAGAGCGCTCGCTTTGGAGTGCCTGTCTCTTTAAATGCAAATGAGACACAGGCAATCCACCCACTTCTTCAGGGAGGTGTGCCCACAATTTGTTCAACAAGGGTATTGTTAAATTAAATACTCTACATGTACACTGATTCCTACACAGTCCAGAGCCATTAAGGGGAGTTTTGCTGTCCTGGTGCTCTTGGTAGGACCTCCGTCCTGGAGCCTGAAGCTGGACTCATTCAATGTTTCGGGTCATGTTAGACGCTGTTGACCAATAGGGCTGTGGATGTGGATGTGGATGTGGATGCGGGGGGGCAGTCCTCCCGCTCAGGGACGCGGGGATCTGGGTCTGATTCCTCTGGTTTTTTAGTAACAGTCATGGTGAGCCTGTTCAGGCCGGACTCTAACGAGTCCTCCGCTCCCTCTGCTCTGTCCCCTGGAAACCAAAAGAGAAAGAGAAGGAGGGATGGTTTATAATCTGCTAAGCAAAACAGTAAATAATAATAAATAATAATAAATAATAAGTGCAGTAAGAGAAAGAGAAGGAGGAATGGTTTATAATCTGCTAAGCAAAACAGTAAATAATAATAAATAATAAGTGCAG